GAGTATTGACAAATGTAAAATCTTATTACTTAGAATACATGTTTTTTTTAACTAATTTTAATACACAAATTTAATTAAATACAAACATGGGTAATACAAATGAAATGTTATTTATAAATTTGGCGCGAGCAGTTATCATAGTAGTGTCATTCACCTCATTCAATTGTCACACATTGCCGATCAATTAAAGCCGATCAGAAATCAAAATTTGAAAAATGTTTGTCCATAATTATAAGCCTGTCCATTTTGTATTTTAACGTTGTATATTAAGACTTGGATATAGATATCCCTGCCATTTAGCCTATCATGTTCTCTTCTCTTGTGACGGTAATGGCTTTTTTGGGCTGGTTGTCGTCACAGAATCTGACCATAGTTAATAACTATGTCGTTTAACTATGTTGTCGTTTCCAAGGCAGCATTTCCGGATGATCATTTGTAAATATTTCAAACAGGCCCTATTTTTAGAATTACTGCGCATATATGTTTACCTGACCAATTTACCACATGCGGAACGCCTTATGGACATTTAATAAACTAGCTACCGCATCATTCATGTCGTTTCAGTCTTCAGTCATATAGACTGAACTCTTAGCTTTTGAAAACTAATCGTTCAATTTAATTGATAATAAGAGGTCATATTTTCAATGCCTTTTTATTTATCTAAATATAAACTTTTGAAACATTCACATGACAGGGGTGTAGCATAATTATATGTATATGTATTTATAGGATCTTTGGGCACGCACATTTTAATTATATTTTTGCAAGTGCGTTTTGGCGTATAATATTATTTAATTCAAATAAATATGTTCAGGGAATTGTAAGACATTTTTTCATTTTCCTAGAATAAGTTTAGGCCCCGGCATACACGGTCTAAATGAAGCTATGCTTCTGTTTGTGGTGTGCTTGTTTTGTGCTAGGATGTGTGAGAGATATTCCATCTTTACGTTATCTCTGAACAAACTTTATTAAACTAAGTCTACAATTTTCATATAATATATTAATTGATGCTTTCATTGTTTCATAGGGAGAAATAGATCCATACACTAACATTTTATTTGATTTACAACACAGTTAACCAAATTTTGTTAGAAAATATTGTGTGTTGAACATTTTTTTTATTATAATTCACTAATCTATAATTCAAATTGTAAAGATTGTAGTCATGTAAGGATCTATGAATGTAGACTAACTACAGTGTATATAGAAATCGAAGTACTTAAAAGGCGGGGTTCGGATTATATGAAAATAGAGGATATTAAATAAGTTTACATTTAATACTGACTTTATTGATAATATTATTTTATTCTACAAGTTCAATAAATTACGTAATGAATCTACACGAATATAATATTCTATTTTTCATATAACCAACATAAGAACTGCTTTACAGTAAAGAAAATCTCTTTCTGTTATAAGCGTACAATGCTCACATTTAGCGCGTCTTTACGCTATGTTTATAATTATAACGCAAAGGACGTCACGTCAAAGTATATGCACGTCCGTGCAATACCGTTTTACGCATAAGCAAAAAAGGGATGTGATAATTATTATTGATATTGTCCCAGGTATTTTGGTTGTTCAACATTCAACATTTTATTGAACTTAGGATCAAATCTTAAATAATGCCCTTCAGCCAACCATATATTTTATCATGTGCGAATATCGTTTGGTGGTACAACCAACTACCGGGTTATACCAAATAGGCAAATAATAACAGTCTACTACTTTAATATTAATATCACTTACATTTTACATTTATAACATTTATTATTAATAGACTGAAATTTAATATCATTTCTGTATCTTTCAATATTCATGGGCATGTGATTCGCGTGATAAAAACGGAATATTACATTAAATGTTGTTTTCAAATTATTTTGTTTTGAAATATGCATCGGTTTTAATTGCGTTTACTTAAACTAACTGCTCCCCATTCGGTCATGCAATGCAAAAGTTAATATTTAATAAACTGTTCCAGCTTACATACAAAACATACAATATATGTCTAAATTTCATAGTATGCATGTTTAAAATAGTATCATTTTCTGTAACTTAATAAAAGGGACCGTGCCTTTTACAACATTTTTAGGACAGACGAAAAAGGGAAAATGGTTTGATTGGAGGAGAATTGTAATGGGGAACCTGTTGCGAAATTTGGACTCGCTGAAATGACTGAAATCAGTACTGAGTTAATTTTGTATTTTAATTCAAACCAATGCAGATAACTTGCAAAACGCCATAATATCACGGTATACAATCTTGAACATTAAAATCCCGAAGGAGTTTTTTATACTAATAATGGCATTCCACCTGATACACTTCAAACATAATGACGTAATTTTTATAAGAAAATAGTATTGTCATTGACAAAATTAAGCCAGAAATCAACAAGATGTCCGTTGGAGCAATGTTCTGACAAATAAAGTTCAAAAGCATTTTATCAGTTTAGTCAAACATCTCATATTGAGAAATTTTGATTGAAAATTTAATATTTATATTGGTGAAACCATTACATTGGTGAAAAAAAACCTTTTAAATACATCAAATTAAATCACTTTAAATGAAAAAGCAACGACACATACACACACATAATAATAACGATTATGATTTAGCCTTAATTTTATGCCATATATGCGGTACATTTATGTTTTAATTACACTTGTGCTCGTGTGCTCTTTCAGTTAGTTGTATATATGCCGTGTAACCCCAACACTATGCTAAGATTCGAATTCTTAAGTTTTTGCATAGGCCTACAACATAAGCTTGGAGTAAAAAAAACAAGACATTATTGTGATAACTGTTCGGAAATAAAATAATATCAACATGTACATATACATATAAAAATTTCATGAAAAAAAATGGCATAAATATTTTGAATTACATTAATAGTAAATGTTTTTTTTATTTAATTATATATATATTTTTTAAAAGTTGTTATAAGGTATATACGTGTGTATATTCAGAATACATGTATATATATAAAAAGTTGTACATTTCGTCTGTTAATCTGTATTGTCAAACACGTCTCTTATTACATTATTTTGTCAATATTTTCCTTGTGTGTTATATATTAAAGCTGTATTACAATAAGATATGACGTCGTTATATAACTATAGAGACATGAACATGTCATTTTACATACTGATTATGATCATCAAATTAAACATAACCGGAGTGTTTTTATCTATTAAGCCATATAACATAATACACCGTTTATTTCTACAATGAATGTTCAACATATAAAGTCAAGTTTAAATTTCATCAGTAATATTCAGTTAGATTCTATTATAATGTAAAATAGAGTATTTTAAATTAAACATAATTAAACATAAGTAAACATTCATTGCGAGGATTTACTACACTTGTGAATATATAATAAGATAAAGTGAAAGTAACGTACGGTAGTACGTTCATTATGTTACATAAAGATATACGGAACATAATAAGATGTACATAGTGTTTGTTAAAGTGTTTTGTAAAAAAATGCAATTCGGACGTGACTTCAATGATACTTCAGTGAAATATGGTAATATTGTTGAACATATTTGCAATACTGACTCAGTCATATCACATTTTTACAACTTAATAAAGGTTTGTGGAAAAAATTGAATAGGGTATAAAATGGATGTACATGTATAACGAAAATACGCTGGTCGCCTATTAATTTACTATAAAACTATAGAGATCAATTTTCTAATTTTATATTTACATGTATATCTTACAGTACTAATATAGGAATATCGTATGCTATTAAAAGGCTACATGCTAATATTTTCTATTAGATGTAATGACATTCACGTGAAAACATGTAGGATATCAATTGATTATGGAATATAGTTCGCATGTTTTCCGGTTTGATGCAAATATCCGTAAAATTAAACTGCTTTTGAAGACATTAAAATGTGTTTTGCTTTTAGGTTGATCATCACACTGAAAAACGTGAAGGTCAAATAGACACGTCAGATAGACATAAACAAATTAAGTGTCATTCAGAACAAAATACAACATTTATTCTAATCATCAAATAAAAATAAACATTTTGTCTTACAAAACAAACACAAACGGAAGGTCTAAAATAAACTTTTTTATGAAATATCACTGATAATATTAAAATGGAATATAAACAGAATGTTAATTCTATAGTAGAGCTTCTTCAATAAAGAATTGGTATATTCTACAAACGGTAGAATAGAAATCTGTAAATGATGAAAATCTATCAAATATTTGCCTCATGTAATTAGCACTTTTATCCGAGTTGTATGTTTCATTATTTACTGTACTGTGTTATTTGGTGTGGAGGATATAGAAATGTAAAAATTATCATTAAGCAATAACGACTTGTTTAAGATATAACACTTACATGTAATATAACTAATGCTAGTTGTTTCATCACGAATGTTGTTTATTAATTTTACATAACTGATAATGCGATAAAATTAATTAAATTCTGCTAATTAATTCTGTTCTGATGAAATTAATGTTGATTTGAAACTAGTTCTGCTATTAGAAGCAGTCGCTGTACGATTATACTCAGCGAGGGTTGAGTCTATTTGAGCCATATAATATGTAAGAAATATCAGCTTACATTCATATAAAAATATATATATATATATATATATATATATATATATATATATATATATATATATATAGCAGGAACTCATTGATTGAACACCAACATAGGTATGATGGTTAAATAATTAACTCTTGTATAGATAGTGGAGAGAGGTTCGCGAGGATTAAATATTAAAGATGTAGCATCATTTAAAACGCTCAATAAGTGGGAGATATATCAATAAATGTTTTTGAAAAATATGTGTGTCAAAGTTTAAGAAATTTTTTTAAAATGTTACATTTAAAAGATCACCAGATACCCAGCTTGCAATAATTGAACTAGTTTAAGTGAAATCATAGACAGTGTGTTTTGAACATTGATAATTCTGTACTCTATTTATATTGATAATTGGATTATTTGAAATATTTGAAACATTATTGAAATATGAATATATCTGCCAAACAAATTTTATTGACATGGGTGGCACTGGTAAATATGCGAGGTGCAGTTTGTCTAAAGGATTATTCATCTAATATTACAATGTAAGTAACATTTTATTATATCAAAATTAATTCCTTTTTAATTTCCTGATTATTGGAAGGTACTCGATCGAAATTTAAACATTTTCATAGTTAGTTAGTAAGTTACTTTATTATTTTAAAATTGTTGTCTTCAATCTAAAGGTAATGGAAAGTAAGTAAACAAATACCCGTTCTGGTATTCAATAGCTTTTCAGTTTTAGATTGAACTGCGCTTGAAGAGAGTTCATAAAGTGAAAACTGTCAAGGTTTATATTTATTGTTACCAACCACCTCTCCCTTTACATTGAATCTATCAAATTATAACTATTAATTAATAAGTTCATTCTAGCAAAAATTATCAATGCCTTGGTAGATCAAATAAAATCTTTGAAAATTCTCAAGATCATTCTACGGTGTATAAAAGAAACTTTCAGCTTCATCATATAACATAAGGTTATTGTAAAAAAAGGTTCTTTATTACGGCAATATAAGGTCATGTTCGCAGCATGCTCCAGTTTACTTACTGAATATAGAACAAACTAATTAGCTTGCAGTATAAAACTGGTCAATTTATTCTGTTCTCAGATGTCCGAATCAGTTTATAATGTTCGTCTATAACTAAATAATCCTCGGGAGGTTTTCTGAGAAGAATTTGTTAACTATTACATATTGATCTGTGGATGGTCAGTTAAAAGAAGTAATTAGTGTATCAGAGGAATAGTGATAAACTATAAATTGTCCATACGGATTTCTAAATAGTTCGTTATATTTCCCCAAGATAGAAAATCTTATTAGTGTGTTAATACATGGGACAAATTGCATAGAGACAAGGGAATGTCTCAACAATGCCAATTGCCAGTTATCACATGTTTGTTTGTTTACTTAAAGTAAAAACGAGGTCAAGTCTGACAAAGAAAAATAAATGTAATATTAATTAGTTTATTGTTATTTATGACATCTAAACAATAGAATTGTTTGTTTCAGGTCCACAATTCTGGAAGAGATATTCGAAAAATATGACAAGAAGTTACCTCCTAGATATGATAAAGGTAGATCTAACATCGAACCTGATTATTATTATACAGGATATATCAGAATCGAGCAAATTTACCATTGTTACAGTTTCATACTTTTAGACCTTTACAACTGGGGCAGCAATGGGCAATATTAAGATAAGTATCAAGCTTTGCGCCTTCAGCCACTGTTCATAAACTATCTAAAGAAACTAGCATATATGAGTATACTTCTAGTCTATATATAATTTTATATCTGCTTTATATGAAAAGAAATTTCGAACTTATAACCTTAATAAATCAATATGTTTCAGACGGTGCCGACAGACAGGTTCTAGTTATTGTCAGTATATATGTGATCTCTATGTACTCTATCAGTGAAGCGAACATGGTAAGGACATATAAAATAATATATACATATAAAATAATTTTAGATGTAAATTTAACAATGCCTTCATGAGAGTGGAATTTAGCCCCTGTTTTGAAATGAAAAGACAATAATAATTAGACATGATTGTGTTCTATAATGACCTTTAACTTGGTAACCTAGTATAATATGTTTAACCTGGTGAATTTTTTTAAGGAACAACAACTTACTGTTAATAAAGTTTTCAAAAAATCTTATCAATAACTAATTGATATCTCTAGTCACAGGTCCTGGCTTGATATCTCTAGTCACTGGTCCTGGCTTGATATCTCTAGTCACGGGTCCTGACTTGATATCTCTAGTCACGGGTCCTGACTTGATATCTCAAGTCACGGGTCCTGGCTTGATACCTCTAGTCACGGGTCCTGACTTGATATCTCTAGTCACGGGTCCTGACTTGATATCTCTAGTCACGGGTCCTGGCTTGATATCTCTTGTCACGGGTCCTGGCTTGATATCTCTAGTCACGGGTCCTGGCTTGATATCTCTTGTCACGGGTCCTGGCTTGATATCTCTAGTCACTGGTCCTGGCTTGATATCTCTAGTCACTGGTCCTGGCTTGATATCTCTAGTCACGGGTCCTGGCTTGATATCTCTAGTCACGGGTCCTGACTTGATATCTCTAGTCACTGGTCCTGACTTGATATCTCTAGTCACGGGTCCTGACTTGATATCTCTAGTCACGGGTCCTGGCTTGATATCTCTAGTCACGGGTCCTGACTTGATATCTCTAGTCACGGGTCCTGGCTTGATATCTCTAGTCACTGGTCCTGACTTGATATCTCTAGTCACTGGTCCTGACTTTTAAAATAAATGGCATGGCACACGTTTCAATCCCAGCAAGCATGATGAAAGTGTTACATAATGATTTTCTAAATTCATGAGCTAGTAGTAATAAACGAATTTATTGTAAAACCATAAAATGGCTTTCTTGATAGCCATTGATCTTTTCGCAAACTCTCTCATGAGCAAAGTTGTTTCATGCCAACAGTCATTATAAATCTGTAATGATAATACAGTGACACACGTCTGCTCACTTATTGTAGGTTGTAGATCTGGTATAAACATTAAGTTCATGGGTTATCAAGAATTTCTTTAATCAAAACATTGGCAAGTTAATACCTGGCTGAAAATACCTTCACATTCCTATCCTTAGAATTAACGGACATCTTTTAAACTTTTATGTTATTATACGTATTACATTACATTACGTTACGTACATAATGTCATTTAGTTACGTAGTTTTGTGAACTTTCCGTAACGTCATGCATTATAGTTAGTCCCGTTTTTTATGATTTAAGTAATTTTTTAGGATTATTCTATGAGTTTACATCTACGAGAAAGTTGGGTGGACGAGCGTCTAACATACACAGATGTGTTAAATTTGACAAGACTTGAATTAGATTCGTCATTGTTTGACAAAGTGTGGGTTCCTGATTTGTATATATTGAATGAAAAATCATCCAATTATCACGAAGTTACAGTCCTAAATAAAATGATTCACGTTTATCCTAATGGTACAGTTCAACTTAGTGCAAGGTGAGTATTTAATTGTAATATTGTAATGTCTTTACAAATTTACCTCACATACAGTCTTTCTAGTCCTTAGGTAATAATAATGATTTATTTCAATTTTAAATGACATCTTGTAAAAATATTGTGATCTAATTTTATTTTGATGTATCGTCTTAGCATATCAGTCATACATTTATAATTTAGTCATTAAGCTAAGTCAAGTCTTTATTGAGCAACGATTTTCTCAACCTGTATAAAATAACTTGTGAGTCGTCTGCAAATGACAGCCGTCCACGTAAATATTTGAATCCACAGATTTAATTAGGTAGATATATAGAGTAATAAAAGGCAAATAAATATATATAGAGTAATGAAGGGCAGTTACATAGAGCAATGGATGGCAGATATATAGAGTAATGAAGGGCAGTTTCATAGGGCAATGGATGGCAGATATATAGAGTAATGAAGGGCAGATATATAGATTTATGAAGGGCAGTTTCATAGAGTAATGAATGGCAGATAAATAGAGTAATGAAGTGCAGATATAAAGAGTAATGAAGGGCAAATATATAGAGTAATGAAAGGCAGTTACATAGAGTTATGAAGGGCAGATATATAGAGAAATGAAGAGCAGATATATAGAGTAATAAAAGGCCGATATATATAGGATAATGAAGGGCGGTTACATAGAGTAATGAAGTGCAGATATAAAGTGTAATGAAGGTCAGATATATAGAGTAATGAAGGGCAGTTACATAGAGTAATTCAGTGCAGATATATAGAGTAATGAAGGACAGATATAAAGAGTAATGAAGGCCAGCTACATAGAGTAATGAAGGGCAGTTACATAGAGGATTGAATGACAGATATATAAAGTAATGAAGGACAGTTACATAGTTTTGAAGGCAGTGCATTGTTACAACGCCATAGGTAAGTTATAACATAGTACAATAATAGACATACAATAGATATAATACAATACTGGGTAACATGATTATAGGAAAGAAATAAGGAATTAATGAGCTATTTCTTAGAATCTGTATCTTGATCAGCTATATATCTGTTTACAGAGTGACTGGTCTTTTTTCGTGTTCAATGAATCTACAAAAATATCCGTTTGATACACAGTCTTGTTTCCTTGAAATAGAAAGTTGTAAGTAAATTTTGTTTGACTTATCATTATGACTTTATTAGAGGATACTGCATTCAGTGTTTGAAATTTTTAATTAAAATATGTAATTATAAGAGCTAACAATTGTCCACTTTTGAACTTTTAAAACTTTTCGAATTTCCATTAAATAGACGCCTTTCTTATTTAAAAAGTGCTCAAATTAATTTCATACAATAAAACCCACTTCATTAAAAACATATGCTCTGGAATTGACGAATCACAAATTTAATACAAACATTATCATTTAGCCAACACAGTTACTTTAAGTCTAGCTAATTCTATGAGATGAACAGAATTTTATTTAAAAATCGCATGTTTTGCAAAACGTGATGTTGCACTGTTATTTTTGTTAAATACTGAAAACTGTGTTCCAGTAAATGTACATGTAATATGTGTCAAATGGACATGAATGAAATTTATGTATTATATACATTAGAATAAGATGAGAAGAAGTTTTGTAAATTGATTATCATGATAAATTTAAACATGTATTTCAGATGGACATAGTACAGAAAATATGAATTTTGTATGGAAGGCTGACGCGGTATCTGTTGCTAAAGATATAGAATTCCCACAATTTTCTTTAACAAGGATCGAGCCAGCTAACTGTCAGAAAGATTATTACGGAAGTATGTATTCAAATTTGTCAAATTCTTTTCTATTTTACTTATTAAACTAAAGTAAAGCAAATTGGAAGAAAACAAAATAAAGGTAGTGAGCCTATAAATTTTTCACATTCAAAATATACAAATATTTGGCAAGCTTCACGTATCAAGACTCACTTTTCAATATGTACAAGTATAAATATCGTCCGGCACGTTTAATTCATCGTTTATTCAAAATTTTATATCCTAAAACAATTCAAACATTATCATTATTTCCAGTTTAAATCACCAAAATACATTTATATTGATGTGTTAAATATGTTTCATGTATTTTATTTACTTTGCAGTTTTCTTTCCATGCATCAATGTAAAGTTCACATTAGAGAGAAATTATGCGTATCACATCTTACAGATATATATACCCAGTGTCCTCATTGTTATTCTCTCATGGGTCAGCTTCTGGTTAGACTGTACCTCTGTGCCGGCTCGAGTCTCACTCAGCCTGCTCACTGTACTTACAATAACGACACAAAGTTCTGGTGCCAGAGCAAATCTCCCACAGGTGTCTTACGTAAAAGTAAGTATACAAGTGTGTATTGTAGTTATAGTCTACAGCTCACACTGATTCTCGGCACAGACATTTGGGGTTTGGAGCTCAAAACGCCTTTAAAATCCAAATAAAATGCACATTTGTCAATCCCAGCACATGTACTGATCATATATATCAAAAAATCTTAATATATGCCGTTTTGAAAAAAAATCATATTTCAACAACTATAATAATACACAAGATAAAAATGTTCGCCGGAAAAAATCCGCACCCCTACCGTCATAATCACCATGTATTTTAATCCATTTCCAATATTTTCACATAATCCTTTGGTTCATCGACACAGAAGATATAATTCTTCACGATGATGGTCAATTTTAAACTTCAACGGTAATATAAACAACGCAACAGCCGAAATAAACATCAATATTATCGCCGTTTTTTTTCCAACGACAAAATCTTTCGATAAATTCAATGGACCAGACGGCTATGAACGAAGCTATCCGATTATGTGGTTCCCAAACTTAAAAGCGCTGCGCATTTTGCACACGGCAAAGCTGGGGCCACATAATCGGATAGCTTCGTTCATAGCCGTCTGGTCCATTGAATTTATCGAAACATTTTGTCGTTAAAAAAAACGGCGATAATATTGATGTTTATTTCGGCTGTTGCGTTGTTTATATTACCGTTGAAGTTTAAAATTGACCATCATCGTGAAGAATTATATCTTCTGTGTCTTTTGTCATACTACCTCCCGTTGTCATATTACAGCTTATAACTTACTATGTTTAGAAATAAACGTTGGTGAGTTTATTTGAAATAATAATTGAAATGTTTTTATTTCTAGGCTATAGATGTGTACATGGCGACTTGCCTAGCGTTCGTATTTTTAGGTCTGCTAGAGTTTGCATGTGTAAATGTGTTGACTAGAAAAGAGAATAAGTATCCCCTACAAGAGAAAAAAATACAAATCAATTCTGTCAGCCAAAACCACGAAAACTTAGTAAGTGATATATTTTGTGCTTGATATTTATGCCCATTCTTTCATCTTCAAGTAGAGCTGAATAAACTATAAATATCAAAACATTGACTGTTATAATGGTGATTGACCAACACTTGATATTGAAAAAAGTTTAGTTTTGCTGCCTTATTCAGATGTTAGTTAGAAATATAGTTTGATAAGAGAGAAAGTAATCAGTTAAATACATCTTTTAATAAAGTATTCACTACTATGTTTCTTAAGAATTTTCAATTTGTACATTTTTATTTTTCAACAGGAGATTGAAGATAACAAGGAGACACGGCACTGTGAAATAAAATGTTTTAGTCGATTATCAAATCTCGGTCGTGCTCGGCTAGTGGATAAAATATCACGTGTATTATTTCCGTCAACATTTATATTATTCAATTTAGTATACTGGTTTTTTTGTTTTAAATCTCGTATTTAAAATACGTATATAAAGGAGACGTGTTCACGTGATGTCACATATAAACAGACGAAACAATGACATTGATTACTGTTTCCCCCTAGCGTTCGTTGTTGCCAGATAAAAGTATGGACCAGACAGAAAGAGAATGCACTGTAACACCGCATAACAGAGCTGCCCGATGCCGTTTATATGCGGTGATTTTCAACGCAAAGCTGACCATGCTTACGTGGCTAAAAACAAACTTTCGCCACATAAAACAAATGAAAACACATACAAAAGTGATTAGTTGTTTCGATAAGGTTTCATCATCAAGATCAATTGCATCTGCCCTGCATTTATGACCACCATCACAATTATTTCTGCTTTTTCAAGATCACATCAGTGGCGGAGAACCGAATCATTATGTCTCCACTATCCCGACACTTTCTATGTAACACAAATAGCTACTGACATTGCTAAAGTCATTACCATCGTTTCTGTTGAGGTCTTCTAACGGTTAAGTTAATCCTCTTGTGTAGCAAAAAGGCACATGTAAGTAATTTTTGCCGCTACACATGGTCGCCCTGTTTATGCGTTAAAAATCAAACGTTTATGCGATGGAGCTAAATGCGGTGTTAAAATGCACATCATCAGAAAACTTTTAGTTTAAAATTGCTTTAGCGAATTTGTTTCTCTATGTCAAATAATTTGATTGTATTTATCAGTTTAAATTATGTGTTGTATTACTTAAAATAATATGATGATTGGCATAGTATTAAATGCAAACAACATTATATTATGTTTATGTAAGTATTTTATTTTGGAAAAATTTATACAAGTTATAAAGCGACTTTGTTAAATGTCTGTTAAAAATGTAAACATGTTGAAAAATGTAAAGATAAGTGGGAGTTTGTTTTTATTGTCTAATGGTGTTTGTTCATAAACTGTCTCACGTGTTTATCAAAGTTTGCTCTTCTTATGTTCTCCTGCTCCTCAACAACTGCTCTCACTCTATCATCATTGTAACCACGTGATCCACCAGCACATGGCACTCGCATTTCTCTTTCCTCCAGCTGTACTCGCATTTTATCCAAGTTGCGTTTCTCACGTACCTGCCTCTTTTCCTCTACATCTCTTCTCAGTTCGTCAGTAAAATTACCACCTTCAAAATTCATATTACAAAATTAGAATTTCTTAGGATATTCATCACTTAAGATACATCTGCGAGACCTTTCCCTTAACATTAAGACAACACTGATTATTTTCACAATATCCATTTGTTTTAATTAGTTGATGGCGAAATCATTGACGTAGACGTAGAAATCACGTAAAATTTACGTTTATATAATAGATTCCCACAAGTCTTTCATATCCCGATACCATTATTACAGAAGAAAATCATCTATATGCTCTTATATATTCCATCAAAGCACTGTGGGCACTTATCTTTGTTCTGCAAAAATCCCATATTTATTTATTTATTTTATTACTTTATTTCCTCTTGGCTTTCTATGGATTTTACATTACCATGACACTGAACTATTTTAAAGTAGGAAGATGTTCGGTCTCTAGTAATCTCTAGTGGACTCTAGTAAAATTGATTTAATGTTTTACAAAAACGATCGGCTATTTCATCTAAATGTTAATTGTATAAAATGAAAATGTTTACTATAGCAGGTTACAATTGCCTAAGAATAAAGGTGATAGTATTCATATTATTTTATATTGTAATATGAATTACTAGCGTATTATTGTTATTGATGTTGTTATTTTAATTGGTGTTGCTATTTGTTCCTGGGAAAATTATGATGTGTTATTTGTAGTGTAAGGATCTGACATTCTAGTATAATTCTGAAATGTACTTACAACAGAACTTATGATGAAATCCAAGTGACATGGTGAAATCCTATAGCTTCATATTTTGTTGACTTCTACAAGAAAAATATGCACTTACCTGATTGACAAAGGACTCTGTTTTGACACTTTGCAATTTAAGCTGGTAGAATTGTTAAACTTACCTTTATGCATAGCAGAAAACTGATTTACTCATGTTTCGTCTAATGACAGACATCTTTGAAATCTGTCACTTCATATTTTATATTGAAGATTTCTTATTGCCGCCATTGAAATCCAAGATTTCAGATTCAGAAATCCGGCCGACTGTCCATTGGAGGATTTCTGATTTCTTTGATTTCAAACACCGAACCTTTTTAAAGTCAGAATCCAACCAATGTTGTCACGTCGGTCTTGACCTCCAAGTGATGTAAATAAAGATTTAAAACCGCCAAAATTAAAATTCAATAAACATCTTACAAACGACATTGTTATCCAAACTTGTAAGTTGGTATGTATTTATATCCAGTATTATTAACTCACTAGACACTTACATGTTATAAACTTAGAAAACTGTATAAGAATTGTATTTATTTTCCCCATCCTGACAAACGTTTACAGTAGTTTTTACGATTTTAAACATTTTTATGCTCATGATTTGTATTATCTATCTATCAATAAATCAATAAAGATTTTATTATTATTTCATTATTTTTTATTTTATTATTTATTATTATTATTATTATTATTCATTATTATTATTATTATTATTATTATTATTATTATTATTATTATTATTATAATCGTCTTAAAATCGTGGCTGATTCGTAGGAGCTTATAATCATGTATTGTGTAATAATGAAATAATGTCAATACACATGTATTTTATTATTTACCTTGACAAATAAAAATCGTGATAAAAAAATTATAGACTAGTTTTTTTTTTTAAATGTCGTTTTAAAAAAGGTCGTTGTACTATGACTGGCTATTAACCAGATTTAGCTCTTTCTGGTTTTCAGGAAATGGCAAGTACATTTCGTAGTCGATTACAATAATACAATACAATAAATGTCCATGTACATCTTGTTATCTGTATTTTTAACAAAAGCTTGTTTAATTGTATACATAAAAGCTATTCTTAATATCTAGTACGTACAATTTGTTATACTTGCGAAAAAACGATTTCAAAGGAAGGTAGATAATATTAATATAAGATAATGACATATAATAACGAGAGTTATCTCATATAGGTAGCGGTTGAACGAAATATGATAAAAATGTTTAACAATTTCCTGATATTGTAAAATTTACCTGGTTTCAGTGACAACGGAAAACTGTTTAGCATCGTTTTCAAAGCCTTGTTCGATAATTATTATAGCATCAAAATAACCATGATGTTCATTATTTCTTATATATCGATGGACAATTAATGTAAAGGCAGGGGCGTAGCTAGGCCGAAATCGATATTACGCACGCTCAGGCAGGGGGTTAAGGGGGCCGCCTTAGGCCCCCTTGCAGGTCCAGGGCAGAGCCCTGGTAGGGGTCCAGGGGGCGAAGCCTCCGGAAGCTCATTGATTTTCACCATTTAGAGATGTTAAAATTATGCATTTTCATGACCATTGAGGTCCATAAAATTACAAATTGAAGTCAGAAGGAATTTAATATTATCATTATAATAACATTTTATGTAATGATATGAGTTGTGTTAATAAGTGACGTGATTTAGAAAACGTCTTAGATATAATGTCTAGATCGTATAGTATTTGATTAACGTTATATAAGGATATACATTGAATAAACAGACGCAAACAAATGACGTGTACGCTTTTACAAGTCAGCAAATAAAAGTGACAAACACAAATTTATCTACAACAACGTCAGCCTAGATCACCCTGTCTCTATGGATCTGCAAAAGTCCTAAGCCAGAGAGATGACCAGTGGTCATCGTTGAGCGATCAGCACTGGCATTGCTGGAAGGAAATGCAGACACTTGTTAACATTTGATAAAGCTCTGTCGGTATATCTAACAGTACAGATTCTATAATAAACGGAGACTGCAACAGTGAAGTCTCGCACCGATTTACAGAAAATAATGTGTTTTCTTCATTTTTAGATTGTTTTTTCTCAATTGAAATATCGTTACTAACTAAAATCTAAAAATGTTATCAGTTACTACGTAGCGATGAGTATTATCTTAAATTACTTTTGTCTGCTCAATGTTCTCGTAGCAGTCGAACTTCTGGTATCATCTCTGTTTCTCGTGCTTTGATGAAAACGGTCGTTCATGGCTGTCATTTACTTATACGGCAAACTGATTTCTTTTTGGGCTAATATGCTAAATATCACACTGAAAAGTGTCCTTCGCATTTGTGAAAATATTGCAAATGTTCATTTCTCAGTGTGATATCTAGCATACTCATTTATATATATATACAGTAAATTTTTGTTATTTGTTTATTTTTTTTCCTTTTTTTAATTTATAAGAGAGGTGACATACATAATGCAATTACAATAAAACGCATAGAAAATTATTTTATTATTACAGATACTATGATGTATACATGTAAAGGATCTCACATGCGTTGTCATTGATATAAAAATATGATTTGAAACGATTAAAGAAAAAGTTACAAACCTTTGACGAGAGTTTAAGATATTTTTAAGTAATGCCAACTAATGTAAGTTTCATTTTTATTACACATTAAATCGCATTCAAATTTGTATAAATAAATACAGTTAAATAAAAGTTATATCGCCAGCACAATTTTCTTTTTCAAAGAGTTCAATCAAATTTAATAATGATCACACACGAATACATCTTTCAGATATAGTCGTTTGGGATTATACAATTTGCCAATAAGTAACTGATGAAAGAAATTATAAAAGTAAAAAAAATGACATAAAAATAAAAGAATTCTGGGGCATACTGGGCCTTTTGAGGTTATACTTTAGGAGCGTCACTGAAAAAGAAAACAACGACAACAAACACAAGAAAAACGTTTTTACTGTTATATAGGTACATATTTTTCTCTTGTGCATTTTTTTGCGATTACTACAGTTTAAGGGATTTAGTATTTTGTATGGAAGTCAAAATACTACTTTGTTTACATTTTGCTACTTTTATGACAAATAATTTCACATTAAGCGCTACTTTCTTCGTTAGAAGCATTTAACAAGCCCTGAAATATTATTTAAATGTTTTAAAGCAGCACACCTCCAGATTCATGCTAATTTTCATGAAAATTTGAAAATGTATTTAACGCTTTAATATTGTAAAGTTACCAAAATAATGCAATTTAGACATCATCAATGCCACTTACAACCTATATAAATTACTATAAAGAGGTCAAAATATGCAAAAAAGCCCTTACTGCGTTCGTAACGCAATAACATTTAGTTATACATACTGAAAAATTCGGTCATTAATAGCACATTACATGTAAAGTTTTACTAGAATTTTGAATCTTTACTGAATACCTTTCCTAAAATCTTACTACACTTTTCTCAGGTTTGATTTTATCGAAATAGTTTTGCTCATTTGGAGGCGTGCAGCTTTAAAACTTGATCTCGATCATGTTTCTCCTTTTTAAAGAAGTAATAATATATTCATTTCTGAGGCATAATTGTCCGTTTTCTCGACAGAATAAAACGTGGTTATAACAAGCGACGTCGTGTGATTAATCTTTCTGGCACCCCCAATGCAAACGTTTAAACGAACACATTAATTAATGGACAATCAAACTCCATAAAGTTTATATGTTCCTGAGAACATTAGCTATTTGCTTGATGGGCGCTGCATCATTGGCCTCGTCGGCGATACAGCCAAAGAATGGAGCGGCGTTGCAGGTCTCCACAATTGTTTTGCTGTTAATCTCGCCACATACAGTAACTCGTTCTGTATATCGGACGAAGTGTATTTCGAGCGAGCATTACCTCCGTTAAAACCGTATTATGCTTCATATAGTTCTTTATGGATTAATACTCTTTACGTTATATTATTATTGGAACTTATTAGATCTACCGATCTCTATTTATATTAGAATCAATGATATAATTAGAGCTAGATCTATATAAATGTTGGACCCATGCCTCAAAACACTCCAACACCACCCACGCCTATACCCTTTAGTTTTCTCACCGTTTTTCGTATATTTGAGTTTTCGTTTTCCTGGATCAATGTTACGCACGTGCGTAGGTGCGTAACGCTAGCTACGCCCCTGAAAGGTAACGGACTTTATAGTCGTACAAATAAGATAAAAAAAGATAGGATGAATATAAAAACTTAGACATATAAAAACTTCCACACCTACAGGAAAAAGTAAAAATTAAAAGTTGTGTTTCAAAACATTCCCCAAAGTAAAAATCACAAGAATTTAAAATTTCGTAATCTAACTGGTTTTTAAAAGTACCTTTTACTATTTTTTCATAAAATTTTTGAAACCCGGGGGTTTCCATTTCCCGTTTTTGGCTTTTAGTTTTTTATAGGTAAAAAATTTTAAGCATACCTGACTAATCTGGCTGAGCCCCTTCCCCTAAAAAAGGGCCCCCCCAAAAAGAAAGGCGTTTTAAGATGGAAAAATCGCCCTTTCATATGGGGAAATGTTGGTTCGGTTTTTGGATACTTCTACATAAACATTTCTGTTCAACTCGTTGTTCCCTTTAAGTTCCCCCTTTATGTCTGAAACAATAATTTTTTAAAAATTTAAAAGTAAACGGGAAGCGGTTTTATCCGGGAATGTCCCATTGCAAACGGGCCTTTTCCCGTATTGATATAGTCTAGTTTTTGACAAACCAACATCTTTGGGGTTGGGTTTTTTTCCCTACAAATTTAAAAATTTTTCCGGAAAAAACAATTTTTAAAAACACGTAATTTTTTGCCTTTTCAGGGGAAACGGGGTAACCAAACAGTTACAAAAAACATTTAACCATTTAATTTACAAGGGTTTTTATTTAAACCCCCTTAAGGTTTTTGAAAAACCTTTTTACAGGGGATCCCCGTTTTTCAGGGATGATTTAAACCCTCAGTTTACATTTATTGATAACCCAAAAGTTTAAAGTATTTAAAAACATCATTTTCAGGTAAGGCTCCCCCGTTTTTAAAATTTTTTGTAAACGTTTTCACGATTGCTAAGAACGAAACGCATCACGTTTAAACGGTTGGTACCTCTATGTACTATACACACCATGCATTTGAGTCGCCAAATGATGTCTTTCTTTCTATTTTTAATACATGTACAAATAAAGAATGTGCAGGGCTCATCACAATTGGGTCAGCACACATTTTTTGCATTGTTAACCCATAATGCTGTGTGGAGGGTTGTAAACACCCATTTTTCCGTTTGTTTACTTTGGAATAAACCACTAGAATCCATGATTACAGGCAATGATTAAGAAATTTTGTAAGACAATACAGTCATTTCGATTAAACGGTAAACAATATCGTAAACGTTTATGAATGAAAATCGAAACGAATCCGTTTAAACGTGTAATCGTGGGGGCCTTAGTTACAGGTATGATGACCATCAGTTACATTTATGATAACCATCAGTTACAGGTATGATAACCATCATTACAGGTATGATAACCACCAGTTACATTTATGATAACCATCAGTTACAGGTATGATAACCATCAGTTACAGGTATGATAACCATCATTACAGGTATGATAACCATC